GTTTGGACCGGGCCAACCAGATCGACACTGGGTTCCATTGATGGCGCAACGCCGGCCGTTTCCCGCCTGAGCACACGGAGCTGGTTTTTCGTTCTCCACTGTGGCGATGATGTCTACGCACGGTGACAAACAGAGGTGGGACCAAGTCCTTGCTTTGCAAGTCATAAGTAAGTCCCAAGTCTTTGCGCTCAAGTCCGAATCAAGTCTCAAGTCAAGACAGGCAAAGTCCGAATCGAGTCTCAAGTCAAGACTGAAAAGTGTCAAGTCAAGTCCCAAGTCCTGCCGTTTCTGTTTCGAGTCATTTTAAATAAAATAATAATATATTAACACAGATCACTTTGGGTTTTGGAGAAAGTATCAAGTCTCATCAAGTCAAAGGGCTCGAGTCCAAGTGAAGTCACGGGTCACTGATGTTAAAGTCCAAGTCGAGTTGCAAGTCTCTTGACATTTTGTCAAGTCGAGTCTAAAGTCATCAAATTGATGACTCGAGTCCGACTCGAGTCCAAGTCATGCGACTCGAGTCCACACCTCTGTCTAAGTCAACATGTTACCAGCCCTTCATTTGATGTGTACCTACACAAAATCTTACATTTAATGTCTGGAGCCCACTTTGCAAAAAAAGATGAACAACTAATGGGAGGTGCTACGTTGGAGGTTGGAAACTGTGACATTGCATTGAAAGTAGGATTGATATAATACTTTCTTACAGGAAGTCATCGCGAAGATTTCCATTGAAGGTTCCACACAGGCCCAGCGTTTGTCCTCGCCATTTGCTGTGCAGCTGCAGGTACACTCGCCCCCCTTGACTATCATATTGCAACCGCAGGCCATCAGCCACTTTCAGCTGTACAAACACAGAGGTCAGCTTTCGGACCTCCACCGTATCTATATAGCCAAAAAGAAAAAGAAAAAGAAAAAAAACATTGTTGAATGTGTCAACAAAAATGTTATTATCTCAGCTTTTTGAAATGTTTACCATCAGTGTAGGGCAGCACAGAAGCTGGGTTGACACCAATTATGACCTCCCCGTCTCTTGTCAAAGTGATCTGACGACTCACATCTTCATCCAACACCACTGTCACCGACTGAATACACGTCTGCTCCTTGGGACACACACACACACAAACATACTGTATACGCTGACAGGTAGGTGACAGGCGTCGGGGTTTTTCTATAGTCCAGGTATATATTTAATTGCCACTGTACCTCTGCACAGGTGCTATACTGCAGCGTAACAGTAAATTTGCTGCTGCCACGGCTCTTTGCAAGGACATACTGACATGATCCGGGCTGAAGAAACATTCTGCCGTCAAATGTCGTTATGAACACGTCCCCTACGACTGAGCACTCCGCTGCAAATGGACACAAAAAGTATATTATTGACTTACAGTGTACATATACTCCAAGTTTTCTTCCCATATTCAGTGGGCAACTAGAAGTAGGTGATGGTAGGATCCCTGGACAACCACTCTGGCTATGGGGACATGGAATGTCAACTAGCTTGGGGGGAAAAGAGCCCCAGCTCGTGCGGGAGGTTGAGCGATACC